GGCCCGGTATTTTTCAACGAATAATGACAAATCTTTTCAACGATATTCCCAACACAGGGGTATTTTTAGATGACGTAATCATCGGGACGTCTAATACACAAGAACATTTAGCAATTCTAGAAAGAGTGTTACAACGCTTATTAAATAATGGAATGAGGCTTAAGAAAAGTAAATGTTCATTTATGATGAGTGAGGTAAAATATTTAGGATACTTAATATCGGCAGATGGAATAAGAGTCGATCCCGAGAAAATTACGGGAATAATAAATATTCCCCGTCCCAATAACGTAACGGATCTGAGGGCATTCTTAGGCACAATTAATTTTTATGCCAAGTTCATTAATAATTTGAGCGCTACACTCGCCCCACTGTACAACCTGTTAAAAACAGGCGCGGAGTGGCACTGGGATAGAGAGTGCGAAAAAGCGTTCAAAAACATTAAGAATATTTTAATTAGCGCAGACGTACTGGCCCACTATGATCCGCATAAACCATTGTTCTTAACTTGTGACGCAAGCGCTCGTGGTATAGGCGGCGTGCTCACGCAGTGGTGTGAGGGGGATAGCAGTAGTGGCGACTCAGGTAGGCGAGAACGGCCCGTAGTGTATGTATCCCGCGCACTCACCGCGGCGGAAAAACATTACTCACAAATAGAGCGAGAAGCTTTAGCTATTGTTTACTGTTTCGAAAAATTGCACCAGTATCTGTATGGGAGGTCCTTTACGCTACGCACCGACCATAAGCCTTTAGTGACAATTTTCGGTCCCAAACAAGGTATTCCATCGATAACCGCTAGCCGGTTGCAGCGGTGGGCGATTAAGCTGTCCGCATATACCTACACGATAGAATACATCCCATCTAAACAGAATGGAGCGGACGGGTTGTCACGTTGGCCCGCGGCGAGCGCAGTAGACAAACAAACAAGGCAGGTACCGGAGCAAACTTTTTGCATTTCGCACAAAACGCTGTTTTATTAGATTATAATGAAATTAAAAAACAAACGGGTCGGGACCACTTGTTAGGCAGAATAATAAGGTATATACGTACGGAGTGGCCAACTGATTGTGAAATCAAGACATTACAACCTTATTATAATCGTAAGCAGGAATTATATGAGGAACTGGGGTGCATCTTATGGGGACATAGGGTGGTAATCCCGGAGTCTTGTAGGGAAAAGGTACTTACAGTACATATCTTCATCAACGACATCGGAAACTGCGTTCAAGGGTCTAAATTCTTGATGTTCGCTGATGATTTAAAATTATATAGGACTGTGAACTCACCCGAGGAAGCAATGTCACTGCAAAATGATCTGGACAATTTGATAATGTGGTGTAGTTTAAACGGAATGAATTTGAATCCTGAAAAATGTCATGTTGTTCGATTCAGCAGGAAAAAACGCTCGCCAACCAGAGTCTATCATATTAATCAGGCATTACTTAAGGAAGTCAGCCATATTCGGGATTTAGGTGTGATTCTGGATGGTAAATTGCGTTTTAACTTGCATGTTGATGATATTACAAATAGGGCTTTTAGGATGTTGGGCTTCGTCCTGCGTAATTGTAAGGAATTTAGGAATCCCAGCACTAAAGTTACAATTTACACATGTCTCGTACGTAGTATTCTCGAATATTGCAGTCCTGTGTGGAATCCGCATTACGGTATCTATATCAAGCGCTTAGAGAATGTACAGAAGCGATTTTTATGGCACCTATCTTATGGTTGCAACATGGCTAGGAAACTTCCTAGTTACAACGATCGTCTATTACATTTTCACCTTAAATCACTTCGTCATCGTAGAGAGCTGCTTGATATCATGTTTCTGTATAAACTTATAAATGGAATTTTGGATACCCCTGATATCTTGTCCAGAGTAAACATTTCTGTTCCTAAAAAGCTGCAACGATTTGCAAAGCCTCCTTTCAGAATTAAGTTTGCAAAATCAAATCTGGGTCAGAATGCTCCATTAAATAGATCTTTAAGGAGTTATAATTTAATTCATAGCGTTGAAATTGATGGTGGTATTGGATCGCAATGGGGGGGTCGTGAATTCCCCCAAATAGATATGTTTTCAAACACCCCATCAATTTTCAAAAAGTTAGCGGCTCAGCTGATTACTCATTAAGATTTTATCGGGGTTATTCAATTAACTCAATTAATTTTGTAATGTTTTTATTTTGGTTTATCTTAACTTAATTTTTTCTTATTTTAATGTACTTATAAAAATTTAGAATGTGGTATGCGCCTATAATTGGGGTAGCACTTGGCTTGTGTTTGTGTTTGTGTTACATTACTTGTATTAGTGTCTACTTTGTTGGTGCATAAAATAAATAAATAAATACAGTGTTACATGAGGCTCATATGGGGATCGTAAAAACCAAAGCTTTTGCGAGAAGCTATGTGTGGTGGCCAGGGATCGACGAGGCCATAGAAGCTATGTGCCGGGGTGCGGGGTATGCGCAGCGGAGGCGGATATGCCACCGCGACATGCGCCGTGTCCTTGGCCATGGCCGGATAAGCCTTGGTCACGTATACACATGGATTTTTTAGGACCGATAGCAGGGAAACTTTTCCTCGTCATAGTAGATGCCAGAAGTAAGTGGATTGAGGTTAGCCAAGTGCCAAGTACAGCAGCGGGTTATACGGTTAAAGTACTTAGTGACGTCTTCGCAAGATACGGTTTGCCTAAACAAATCGTCTCTGACAATGGGCCACCATATACAAGTCAGGAATTTGCACAATTTTTAAATAGTAACGGTATCGAGCACATTTTTTCAGCGCCATACCACCCGGCATCGAATGGGGCGGCAGAGAATGCCGTTAATGTTCGTACTGTTAAAAGGGTAATTAAAAAAGCCATAAGAGAGAACAAAGACGTAACATTATCGTTAAATAGTTATTTACTATATTATAGGAACACGGAACATTGCACGACGGGCGAAACGCCAGCAGTGTTGATGGTAGGTCGTAGGCTGCGTACCAAGCTCGATGCACTCACACCGAGCCGGGAGGACGCGGTTAAAAAGGCACAAAGTCGCCAAAGGGACCAGGGGCCGAAGGGGACACGTCAGCTAGGCAAGGGGGAAGAGGTTTGGTTACGTCAAGGCGGGGGAAGAGAAAGATGGGTGCCGGGAACAGTAGAGGAAAGGATAGGTATTACGGATTATAGGATAGTAGATGCTTTAGGCAGGGTAACACATAAACACATCGATCAACTAAAGAGACGGATACGGAGTTCATTGATCGGCCCTTCTATTCCGCCACAGCCAAGGGGGCACGATGAAGCGCCAACCGCGGAGCCTGGAGAACCCAGTCCAAGCAATAGGTCAAGGGGCGATTCACCGAGAACCCCCGAGACGCCGATGACGCCCGCGACAGTTTCCGTTTCTCCTAACAGCGGTGGGCAGGATGAATTCTTTGAGAGTAGGGAGCACCAGAGCCCGGGTACCTTTCAACACCTACCCCTGAACCGGTTCAACCTCGTTGTTTTCGACAATGTCGATTAAACAATCCACCTAATTATAAGTTTTGATTTACTAGTAGTCATTTATAATTTACCAAAGTTTAGTAATAAGTATGGTGTTGGTTTATATAATTGTTAGACAATAAGATAGGCTTACCTGTAATAGATCTAAGTAAGTAATTAGTTAATGTAAGTTTATTTTTTTAGTAACAGTTGTGTCAAATAAGGGTGGTGATTGTGTAGTGTATGAGTGAAGCGCGTGTGTGCGTGCGCACGAATTGAGATACCTAAATGTACCAATGTAGTGTGCTGTGCGTCAGTCACCAATAAACCTTGATTCGTATTACACGTCGTTTCTAATTTATCTCACTTTTCAAAAAAAGCTGTATGCTGAGCACAGGATGCTGTGCCAAAATCACTTCCACGAAGGTGATTTTACAGATGGCACTAAAAAATCATTGCTAAGAACTGCAGTTCCGCATGAGGTAAGTTGTGAACTTTACTCACCATTGTATTTAATTTAACCAAAATTTGTTATAATTTAAACATAGTGAGTAATAGTTTGAACTATGTAGGCCTACCTACATAAACCTAAAAACATTACGATAGTAAATGAGGACTGTGACTTGATTTATTCTTGTAATTACAGATTAGACCTGTATTCATTCCTGCGCTTACATTGCCCGAGAATCTGCAGCCAGGCCCTTCATTGTAGAGAAGAAACTTTTCATTTGAATTACCTAGGTAATTCGACCACGACTACGAACATTACAAAATTATGTTGATTTCGTGTCCAAATAATAATAAGGATCCATAAAAGTGAAATAAATAATAATTCAATGAGAAAACGTTTTTGTTTTATTTCAAGATCATTTGTTAAATATCTAGTGTTCTTTTGGATGCATAGGCCATCCATTTGAGTTTTCTTGTCAATGTCAATATCGTGGAGCAATGAAGAAACTTTCAAGTTTATTGATTTATATCAATCTGAGCCCGCACTTTGGGACCCAAATAATGCACTGCACAAGGATAAGAACAAGGTATGTTTATACTATTTTTATGTTGATAGAAATGATGTATACTATCTATCTATAGTTATACTTTTATACTAATATTATAAAGAGGAAGGATTTAAATTGTTTGTTGGAATTGAATAGGCTCCGAAACTAATGTACCTACCGATTTGAAAAATTCTTTTAGCATTAGAATCCTACATTATCCCTGATGAAAATAGGGTACGATGTTTTCAGGTGAATGATGCATGGAATCGCGTTGCAAACTCCCTGCAAATTCCTGTTTCGGAACTTAAAAAAAAGAAAGAGACATTGATGTCAGCATTTCGGATGCATTTAAAAAAAAAAACATTTTTTTATGATGCTATGGAGGCATTTTTGAAAGGAAAATATACATGCAAAAGTATTATATCGACAGATGAACAAAGGGTAAGTAAAACAATTAAATAGTTTCCAATGTTTTTTATTAATTAGTAAGTACGTATTTACTCATTTTGATTTCCACAAATTATAAACTAATTACATTATGCATCATAGGCCCTACCACTGCATAGTCGACTTTGATGGATGTAATTCATAAAATTTGATCTTATTTGCGTAGCATTAATAGGAGCCCGACGAGGTACAGATTTTAATGGTAATAGATTTTCTTCATGGTTTACTCTCATACCTACATGGATTAATTCACCATTCCTATCGTAGTCAGCTGTCAGTACTGCCTGGTGGAGTATAAATATTGCGAGATGATTTGCTCTTTCTTAAAAAATTGTGTAGTAATAAACAGCTGTGGGTTATAATAGAAGTTTTAACGACATCTAATGGAATAGGTCTTTTAAATACTCTAAAAACTGACGATAATATCCCGAAAGTATTCTCTACGACCACACGAGAACGTGATAGTTGTTGATTGAACATTCTTTCTGGGGTACCTAAAAGATGATGTCCAGGAAAGGGCTTCATAATATGAGTACTAAGAGCAAAAGCGCCATCACCCAGAAAAACATAAGGCATATTAGTATTACTTCCAGGAAGTGGGCAACTAGTTGGTAAATTAAGGGTCCCATCACATATTTTTTTCCACAAATTGCTTTGATTTAAAACACCTCCATCACTAATTCTCCCTTGGGTTCCTATGTCAGCAAACAAAAAACAGTAATCACTATCTACTAGGGCTAATAAAACGATGCTGAAACTTCCTTTGTAATTAAAGTATTCAGATCCGGTATGAGCTGGTGCTAATATGGTAATATGCTTCCCATCTATCGCGCCAAGGCAATGTGGAAAACTGAATCCTTCCGTTTTGGTTTTGGTTTGGATCAATCGCTCCTCATCATTAACGTCTGCAAATCATTCTTATATAATTACTTCTCCTATACAAAGCCCATCACCTATTCCACCTGCGCAAACTCCATCCCCTCTTCCACCTACTGAACTCCCTAATGCCTCATACACACAAGAAGTAGTTTATCAATCCCCCAACAGAATCCATACACCTGTCCCTACGATCCATATACCTGAGGGATCCATGCAAATAATTTCTGACGAATTGTATTCTCAGACACAGAGTCAGTCTGAAAATATTTTGGCTGATGCTTATGCAAGAGCTTTGAATAACGATTGTAAAATAACCAATTAAAAAAATATAGTGGGGCAATAATTATTCATTAAAAAATTTAAAGTATATACAAATGTTTTATTAACTCACCTTAATCATGTCCTTTAGCACTTGGTTCAGAGCCAAACATACTTCAGGAATAATTCTAGATATGAGTGTACTTGATATTTTAAAATGGTAGTGCAGGCTCCTATAACTGTCTCCAGTCGCAAGAAATCGCAATGTCAATGCCAATCTTATTTTTGGAGGTATTGCTTCTCGCCAATATGTATCCTTTTTTGCAATAATTGGCGATATTTTTTGCAATATATATTCGAAATCACTAGATGACATACGAACACAGTTATCTAATTCCCCTGATGGTTCTTCAACAAGGTCGCTTAACAGATTGTCCATGAATTGCCTGAAAACGGTAAAAAAATTCTTAGTCATGTTACGTTAACATTCTAAATATTAATATCATAACCTAAGTACCACATTAAAAAATCTACGTACCTTGTCCTGTTTCGATGAATGGTCAGCATCCACCATCGCCTTTTTCGCCATTTCTTTTTATAACTTTGTGACGGTACACACTTCTGTAATACTTGTAAACAGTATACAAAAAATTGCCGCAGCCGTAATTACTTCGACGTCCATCGCAAGTGGTTTGCCAGGCAGCAATGAGCCATGCGCCATTGTGTGAACACCAAGTGATCGTGGCCTACAATTGTGCATTGCAAAGCGTGGCCCATCACAGGCCATTGTGTACTGGGGGCTTAATACGTTATTAAGCAGTGTTGGCCTAGTGGCTTCAGCGTGCGACTCACACACCTGAGGTCGTAGGTTCGATCCCCGGCTGTGAACCAATTTACTTTCTTTCTATGTGCGCATTTAACATGTTGCTCCATGTGATGGAAAACATCGTGAAGAAACCGACATGTCTTAGACCCAAGAAGGCGTGTGTTAGGCACTGGAGGCTGATCACCTACTTGCCTATTAGATTTAAAAAATGATCATGAAACAGATTCAGAAATCTGAGGCCAAGACCTAAAGAGGTTGTAGCACCACTGATTTATTTTTAATTTTGAGTATAAATTACATCGTAACACGTAGAAGTACCAGAAATCCATTCTATTTAAAAAATAACTATAGATTTAAATGCAGCGTAAAAACTGTGAGATTTTCCATTGTTTCATTATGTCCTATGATTTTTAAATATAGGCTTGTAACAATAAAGAGAAAATCTCGTTACATACAATATATAATTGAATACATTCGCAGTGAATGTGTTTTCATATTTTGTCAAAACAATCGTTCTATATAATGCATGAGTGTCGAGGGACATCCCATGTCAACCGGAACTGTATTATTTTTTGTAGGCGATTACTTTTTCACTGTAACATGTGGAAATATAACCCTCGAATAACAAGTTTATAAAATGAAGAACAGAAAATTCATACTGTGTTTAAAAATCCGATTAAAACTACACTTATATATGTATTAGTGTGGGCCAACATAATTAGCATTGAAAATAATTAATATAATCCTTGTAGCGGCGAAGACAAAGAGAAGTAGGCCGAGGGGCAAGTGGAATGCGGCGTAAAAATAATGGAAACACCACTCACCTAAAGTCCTCCGTCTCTTCACCTGTCTCCGTGAGAGAAGACCACAAATAAAACTATATGCACAAAAAGCGGAAGAAGCGGAAGAAGCGTAAGCGCAAGCGAAACCACACGCGTGACCTCGCGGCGGCGGGTGAATCTTCTCTGCGGCGCGGGAGCATGTAGAATACGGTCCCCTCCTTCTACACTTGAACACCGCAAAAGAGACAGAGTGGCGTTTAGGGAATGGGTGCGATAAGGATAGAAAATGTGATCAGAGAGGACTAAAGGTAACTGGATGGCGTGAACACCTATCTTTTAATTTTAATTCCATCAGTATTTTCTTATGACGTTGGTCACGTTCAACTATCGTCAGTAAATCGACTATACAGACAACCGATTTTTTATTAAGAAATTAGTATCGTAGTAGCTCATTACCTTCTTAATATAAACAGAGTCTATTGAAGTCTATTTCTTCACAACTGATTAATTAAAGTACCTACAACATTTTTTTCTTAGTATACAAATGTATGATGAGATAAAGAAAAAACCAAATAAATTCAAATAATATATATTTTTGTAGTTACTGCCGGTTCGGAATGTAGCTTCTGCTGAGAAGAACCGACAAGAAACTCAACAGTTACTCCTCTTAACTGCTAAAATATTAAAAATAGCATACATATAAACTTGCAAAATATAAATATCACAGCATCTTTCTTATTCAAAAGAAAAGCTATTTTGTCACAATAATAAAAATACAAGGAAGATTCAGCCGAAAATAAAATGCAATAGCTGAGAAATATTCTCTAGTCAACGATGTTGTATTATATTTGATGTACAATGATTTATTTATTTATATATACTCATAAATTAAGAACACAATCATTTAAATAATTTAATTTCAGTCGTACTTAAAACTTTACAATAAAATAGGAAAGATCTACATTGCTTTATTTGTTTTAACACTAATTAATCTCTTCCTTGACGGATATATGACGGAAATTATACTTCCTAAAATAAATGTTACTCAATAAAATTGTTTCAAATGTTACATTTAATAATTGCTTTTTGCAGCCGTAGATTCTCTGATTAACGGTTAAGACATAAGCATTAATCAGTCGTCGACTAAAAGACGGGTAACTATTCTACCATTAGAAATCACTTAACGGACGACTCTAAGGCTGGCATTTATAAAGTGCATTAGGACTAAGCTTACGAGTATCTTGAGATACTGCGATGGATTTCAGCTCAGAGGTTAAATACACTTTATAAGTCCCCCCTTCATGCGCCTGCTTGGACAAGATTCGTTTAATACTTTAGACTGAGATCAAACGGAGTACTGTAGGGTAGTCTAACATATCTACAATGTCTGACCCACTAACTTTTAAATCTGCAGTAGAAACTCGCTAACGGCGTAGGGCAATCGAGTGAATAAGCCAAGCGAAATCGATTTTAGTAATGCAAAATATAAGGCGAAGCAGACATACATCATAATTGAACTGGCTTTGATTGCCAAGAAATAAATGCATAACTTCGCTATTTATCTTGCATGAGATTATTTGATATGACATTTGGTCAAAGACCCGACTATTGACTACTATTTTCGACAGATATAGACATTTCTTTAAAACACCTAATGCTTACATTTTTTCTATGAACATTGAGATTTTTTAAAACGCTTTCTCCGTTTCGCGAAAGTGCTAATGGATATATAAAAAGTATTTATGATTATGGCACATACACGAATGAGTATGTGTGTTTTAGATCTAAATTAATAGTCTAGTCAACAAGTTCAAAAACGTGAAAAATAGAGATAAAGGTCTTAAAAATATGAGCGATGGCTCATTCGATTCGTAATCACATCTAGAAAAATGTATTTGAAGGATTTTGATGCAGGTTAAAAATTGCAATTGTTATTAACAAAATAAGATGAAAAAAAAAATGATATTTCGTTTTTTGTTAATAACTCGAAAAATATAGTTTTTTTTTTTTTTAAAAATCATATTTTTTTGTAAACAATAAAATAGCAAAAAAATTTTTTTTTTAAATATTGAAATTCTCTATTTGTTTATAACAATTTTATAAACAAATTACGTAAAAAATTCATAACCTATGTTAATAACTGCCATTGTTCAATGTGAAAACAGGCATAGCTAAATATTAATTGAAAAAAAATTTTTTATCAACATCTTTTATATTTTTAATTTTTCAATAGTTATAAAAAATCATAATTAACAAATTAATAAACTTTAATGAAAAATTACCGCAGGATCTTATAAAGTACATATACCAAAAGGGCTCCACGAAGTTTAAAATTTATAGGCCAATTATTTATACCTTTCATCCCATTGTTTATGCCAATGGAGATTGGGAAAAAAATGGTTAGTTAACAATTGAATAACTTTTTGAAAAATGGTGATTAAACTTTTTTTTCTTCAGGGCTCGATTCTTTCAAGTGTTGAGAAGATACTAGAATTTTTTCAAATTTTTAAAATCACATTTTATGTTATAAAAAAAATATTTTTATTGCTGAACTCTCTTTAGCGGCGGCGCGCGCATGTCGTAACTGCCGCGCGGAGCCCTATTTTCAACGTCTAATTAAAATTATAAATAATGGAGATAGAATTCCGGGAGTTAGGACTTTTTTATTGAAAAATCCTCCTCTTTAACGAGCTTTTTTCAAAATTTCTTAAATGTTAATATTTTTCGAGTTATTAACAAAAAACGAAATATCATTTTTTTTTCATCTTATTTTGTTAATAACAATTGCAATTTTTAACCTGCATCAAAATCCTTCAAATACATTTTTCTAGATGTGATTACGAATCGAATGAGCCATCGCTCATATTTTTAAGACCTTTATCTCTATTTTTCACGTTTTTGAACTTGTTGACTAGACTATAACCAACAGAACAGCACCCTTAGCACTAATGAAACGAAGGCAATAACATACAAGAATATTAATATAACTTAGGCAGCGCTCCGTGGGCGTATTTGGAACTAAAATCGGAAGCACGAACAAACAACACATCGCTATACCACAGTAAGTGTGTTGGTGTTGCCAACGACTAATGTTATATAACGACTATTCGTATAGATTACCTTAACCATAGGGAAAGGGACCATTTGGGGCCACAATGTGATTAGAAATATGCCCCAAATGTATACAATTTAGTAACAAAGTAAAACTTTCGTGAAACGGACATTCAATTGTTAATATTAATTACTAAGTATGTATATATTTTTGATCGATATCTTCGTCACGTTATCCTAATATAAAATGAGGCTGGTCCTCATGTGAATCACAAAATATTAGTGCTTTCAATAGAATGTGTGTTAAAATGACAGACAAATACGGGGTAAAATCTAGTACATTCAGATTCGAACAATTCAAAGGCGGACGAAACTCTATTTGACTCAAAGTTAAAACCTATAAATGTCTAAATATTTATGTCAATTCAAGAAATACAACTTTTGTGTATATTTTAAAGTAATTGATTGACTAAACAGTTGGACATTTTCACAAGCGTCGTCTAATCAAAGATCCTATTAACCTCGCGCCTCGAATCTTTACAAAAATCCGACTTTAATAAATAAACATTTAAAAATAAATAAAGTCGGTTAAGCACTTAACTCTTCGAGCATACAATCTTTTGGTACTCGGAAGAAATTAAATTTAGCTTCATTAATATAGTAAATGACATTTACGGACATAAACGCTTTTGACAATTGTCTTGCTTTAATTCTTTTCATTTCATTCAAATACCAAAAGATCCGGTCCATTTTTCGTTTTAACCACGTTGCGAAGGACTCGTTACGACGGTCACCGCCGGTCATTCGTCGAGGCTCGGTGGATTATCGTCGATGAAAACAATGTGAGGCTTCATGTAAATGAGAAAGGCTAGCAGCCTGTCCTTATCGGCTTCGTTGCCCCTGAAAGAGAAGGATACACTGATTCATAATACCTTTGTTAGTGTTCGAACGTCGACTCATTCAAAGAAATATAAATTATAGTTTAAAGTCGAGAGTGTGGCTCGTAACAAGTAATGAAGCATCTGGCAATTAATTTATAATTAATAAATAATTAAATTATCTAATATATAAAAATCTCGGTTAAACTTACTCTATATCGATTTCTATGGCTAAAACCGTATGATGCGGCTTCCCTTCTTCGTCCATCCACCTAGAAATTTTAAAATACTATATTTTAAGTATAATCTAATAATAAATTTTGTATTATGATAAACTAAGAGTGCATAAGAGAAAAATTTAATTTTATTAAATATTCATTTGAAGAAATTATGGACTTCAAATAAACACCGATCTTTGTAATAATCGTATTTATTATAGTAGATCTTTGAACTGTTCATTTACAGTTGGACACTTTAGTTGGCGCTGCCAAACAAACGTTATTAAGTACAGCAGCAAATAATATATATATGTGTATAGTGAGAACGTACACGTCGCTAGGCGAAGTTAGAAGGGCGGAAGACATCTTGGCCGGTCGCTTAGCAACCGCTCGCTCAACTGCTTGTGCTGCGCCGAGTGTCGAACGGACTATGTGCCAGAAGCCACGTGTCGCCGCACCGATACCGTCGATGCGCTCAATGCGGACCCAACCTTTAATAAAATTAATAATCAAGCAGGCAGCCAAGCCACGGAGGACATGACAACTGATATACTGAGGTCCTTACCGGCGAACGACGGCTCAGCATCCGGTACACAATTGCTGCAGTGGCACTTGACTTGTCCCCAAGAAACCGCTTTCCTCAACTCCGGGTAAGGCAGCACCAAAAAGTTCCAATACTTCAGCACCAAATGCAGATGCTCACAGCCTTCGCCCGAGGCTTCCCATTCCGCCTCTAGACTCCCTTCGCTCTCTTGATCCAAGCCCAAAATCCTGTTCAAATAATTTAAATTCTCCACCGAAAACGTTTCAGCGTCATCCCTTCGAGTGGAGTCATCCGTCGACGAAGACTGTTCCTCGGTTAGATCTGGAAGGTTCCCCGTCTCCAAGGTGAGGGCGTCCATGATTTCGTTATCCAGATTATCGACATCGGCTTCAGGGTAGCGGTCGTTATGCTGAATGTTTGTATCGCAGGCGTCCCTCGCTCGTCCGTCTAATTCCTCGGTACTGAAATTGTGAGTGGAGTGACTCTTTTGCACGACCCTGTGCCCCCTGTCCGAGGTCAGTATTAAACTCTGATGCATCACTTTGCTCTGCGCGATTCTGACGTCATCGAATAAGGTGTTTCCGACATCCGTGCTGGGACCCGCTATCTCGAAATCGTCAATCAAATTGTTCTCACTGAATGCCCGGTTTCTACGTTGCAATCTATTTTCACTTGTATTCTCCAGCTCTTGTTCGAGCTCCGCTAGAGATTCTTCGCGTCTGTTTTCAGCGATTATCGGCAAATCTAGGGACGTTCCACTTATGATAGAATACGGATGGAGCAAAACCGAGACCTGCAAAAATAAATATTTTAATAAACTTATCGTTTTATTTCCTAATGTGTCTAACAGTTGAGCTGTTTGAGTAAAGTAAAGAAATAATGCTTTTTATATTAATAGAAACGTCACCTGACAAACTTTTCCGTAGAGATCGACCAAGGGGTATACATGGCTGTTGAGTCTCGAGACAGATCCGACGACGGCTAAAACTCTTCCATCTAACTCCACCACCAGATCACTGTTGAACCTGAAGTGGAGAGTCAGAACCGACTGCTCATTCACATCTTCGAGCTCAATAGCCATTGGAGCGCGTAACTATAAATTACAATAAATTAAAGGTTACAATTACAATAATAAAATGTTAAATGAGAACTGAGAAAAATATCAGGCCACAAATCAACGATTTTAGGATTACAAATATCTGTCCAACAATGTAACAAGTTATACTCACATAACAAGCGCCATCGTATAAGTGGTCGCTGGTGAGAACCCAGGCGGCCGGGTCGAGCCGAGTCGCAACTGGCGGCAGACTGTCCGTAGGCAGCGTCGCCACGGCCCCTATCGCCACACTGCCTTCCCAGTCTTCATCCACCTTGTCGATCCGGAACTGCACAGACCAAAGCTATTAAAGATTTCGTCCTATCAACCATACAATTGTTAAATAACATGCGGTCAACATAGCACATTACATATTAAAAACTGCATATGCACATTACGTATAATTTGTAAAAAATTTTAAAAAGTGTTTCACGCTTAAAACAAAAGCAATATTTTATAGAACTAAGAACATTTGAATATTTATTTAAAATCCCAGTGAAGCTTTTATTTTATTAGTAATGTGCGACGTTACACTTCACTGTGAGAGCTTTTCCATCGGAAGTACCTACTTCGCATTGCATGACACTACAAATAATTCGCAATATGTTCTAATTAAGTTATATAATATTTTTGTCTGTTAAAAATAATTGTAAGCATAAAATTAACGATTTAAATAGTTTGATAATGTGAAAATTTCTAACAGAAAAACTTTCACTTCATTTACATAAAAAGAATCAAATTTATATTTGAATTTGTTATGTCGGAGTTATGATTCCATCAAAGAATCTGTGACTTTTATTAAAATGATCAACTAAAACGGACCAGGAACGTGTTAGTTCATTGGATTTCGTGTCATTAAAGCTTCTCAATAAGTTTATGGGTCTTGTTCTCTGATCTTTTACAGACGAAGAAGTACGTTCCAAACTTTCTACCCAGGATTCAAACCGACAAAGAGAATTCATATTTAAAGTAGACAGTCTTAATATGATGTTTTTTTACTCACTGTGGCTTGACGATGATGTCTCGTCCACGTCGTTTACCCCACGATAAATAAATTTGCAAAGCCAAACATAGCGCAAAGCTAAAAACTTTCGCAATTCTCGCAAAGCATAATATATGAACCGCGAAAGTGATGAAATTAATTTGTAATAACATCTAGTATCTTGGCTCGTGATTCGCAAAGCTAGCAAAGCAACTATTGAACTAAGTATATTAAGACATAGTGTAATTTGTTAAAAAAATTATTACTGGTGATCTCACTAGACAAATAATCATCTCAAATTTTAGGCAAATACATATATCTTTCATTTTAATTTCATATGTCTGTTAGTCTTGTTACAATTTATTTATATATTTTTAATAATGTTTATTTAATTTGTTGAAAATCACCACATCATACAATAGAATAGGCTGACAACAATATACTGACGGGGACTTAGGCTTCCTTTTTACCCCTTTTTGTTGGCTTTTGATGATTTCAGTTTTAGGGTATTTTTATAATATCATTTTGTTCGTCGTCTCAACATTCATAATATACATCATATAATTCGCAAGGGCCTTATAATATACATTGTAAAATTCGCAATAGCAAGCTTATAATATAAGTTATAGAATTCGCAATGCTACATACACACTTTATGTCATTTGCAACACTTTTATAATAATTTTATAAATATTTCAGATTTCTAAAGACTATGATACGACTTCCAAATAGAGTGGTGAGAATGTAAAACGTAAGACGAATCAACGGCGCATTCAGTTTCATTGTGATTGGTCAACAGAGTCTGAACTCTAACACAAAATAAAAATGATTGAGGGCTTATAGATTAAAATTTACTATCAATTTCTCAAATCAAGGGCAAAGACGAGAAGAACTGGCAAAAAACTGTCCACCACTCGTAACATCTTGTAAAAATAAAAAGTTGAACCTATATTAGCGATAGCCATAGTGAAATAGGAGCACGCAATCATATTACAGTTGGAATAACACACAAACATTCGTGTATGTGCGATACACGAATTCCAGTCCGACCAATCCAACGTATGTTTCATCATTGGTCTCACCAATCTGTTTGGTTTCGTCGCATTTTATAACCAAACATTTTCAATAGAAACAATCTAGATTTAATTAATTTTCTCAATATGTGATCTTTACCATTCTACTTTATACTTGTTTCTGTTCAGAGTTCAGAATACATAATATGAATTCGTTAGTTTCTACAATCATCTATTCTGGGATTAATTTCGCAAGCACTTCTAGTTAGTAAAAGAGATTTAGTGATAAGAACTATGGCAGACAGAAAAAATAAGATAAAAAAAATGTTTTTAAAGGAAACAGTTAAAACAGGAATTAATAATGCAGATAGTATAGTACTGTTAAAATAAATTGTAAAGTCGGCATTGTTCATGCCAAAGTTTATTTGCAAGAAATGGAGCCTTTAAGCATCAGACTGAAACAGTTTTATATACCTGTAGTTCATATTGTTAGAGGAACCTGATTTTATACCTGATTTTTTGTTCTGCCAAAGATCTTTCGGTGTTTTCGCCAGCAATATAATGAAAAATGTATCTTACCCTAAAACTGTGGCCCCTTCTGAGGGGCTGGCTTACGATAGCGATCGCATCGTTGTAGCCCGACGTACGCACGGCTACTGTATCTAAAATAAAAATACAAATCTTTAACTGTCCTGGGAGCCCCAAAAACTGGTACTTTCATAACCTTAATATAATTGATCTATCCGTGTAATGAGAGGATAACAAGTCACGAAAATAAATTCGTATTTTTTCTATATTAATAATTATTTTAGTATTTTCAAATGAAAAGTTTCAATTATAACTTACCAGAGCTACACAGCTTGATATTCTTTCCGTGCACATAGTGAAAGGTGTATGGTAAAGGTGACCGCCGCCGTCTCTCCAATGGCATCACGGTCACCGTAGACAAGGTGCCTTCCGTTTCACTCGTACAACTCTCCATGTTAAGGTCCACTTCCACCTCCGTAGTAGGTTTTATGTACAACGAGTCGTTTGGTACTGAAATTTTATAATAATCTATATATAAGTTTGTTATAATTTCACGATACTAAAAAATAAAAATTAAGGTTAAATAAAAATAAGGGCAGAGGAGGCCCAGTAATCCTTCATCGCATTGTGGATTGTTTATATAACGTATTTCCCATTAGTTCACTTTTCCTCAAAATACGTAACGTCATCAATAGTTATGAGATCGAAATCTATGATCTGTTTTTCTGATGTCACCCGCAAGGTATGCAAAAATATAAATTGTATTTGGTAATAGGTAAGTAAAGCAATACCACAACTAAAACACTAAAGACGAAACTGCACATTTACTCGATCGAATGTGACGGAAGTCAAAAATCATCCACCTCAAATTTACTATAAATAAAATTTGACATTATCACGCGAGCGATCCTTCTCAATCATCAAATAATACTAATTAATTAACCCATAATAAAACTTACAACGCAACAGTGATCGCAGCGTTATATAAAGCTAAGTCAACAAAAAATACCGGTATTGTGCAACTTGAGTACAACTGAATAATATAGAGCGATGCAAATTTATGGCAGCGCCAAAATTAGTCGCAATAATGGAGCAATCGAAACTAATTGATCAGTGGCGCTATAAACACTTCGTCTCCTGATATTACATATTTGTTTCGATAATTTTTCCTTCGGTCTAATATAGAATATAAATCAGTGGCGCTACAATCTTTATAGGTTTAGGCCTCAGATATCTGTATCTGTTTCATGATCATTTGTCATAGGAAATCTAATCTAATAGGAAAGTAGGTGATCCTGTGCCTGACACACGCCGGCGACTTTTTGGGTCTAAGGCAAGCCGGTTTCCTCACGATGTTTCCCTTCACCGTTTGTGCGAATGTTAAATACGCACATAGTAAGAAAGTCTATCGGTGCACAACCGGGGATTGAACCTACGAACTCAGGGATGAGAGTCTACAGGCAAGCAAATTCTGTCTAATATGCAGGTACAAAAGCCACGATAATGCCAGAGAATTGCGTGACGACGGTCTGTGTCGACTTTTGGGTTTCCAAACGATGTTTTGCTTCACATGCGCACATCGAAAGAAGCCACGGCTAGAACACAGTAAGTCCGTTTATGAAGGAAGACTTGTTTTTTTTGAATTCTACGCTACGATTGAATTTAAGTGGCTGAAACCGCGGGCACAGCTAGACATGTATATTATTGTATGTATCCGTGATTGTGAGTGAGTTTCTGACCTACTATTTTATGCAATCGCTTGGTCTAAAGTAGGTCAGACAAACAATGTCAAGTGTAAAATAAAGCAATTTTGAAAAAATTAGGCTGTCTTGAGATCCCAGACAACTGAATTGACCATTTATTATTTACCTAGCAGTTGGAATACCAATTTTAAATTACATGAACAATACCACATATATATGTATATACAAGATTAAACCAATAACCTTCTTTTTTTGTGTAGGTTAATGAAATGGTGAAATTAATCAAATCAACGCTGGCATTACAAACAATTGTAATTTTATATGTTTGTGTGTTCATTTTTTATGAATGATATATAAAATATATATTAATAACGTACCATTTATCGATCGATGTTTTTATAGAAGCTATTGATTATTGCAAATTCAATCCCATCGTTAAGTTTACAAATACTTATTACTTACATGGAATTTCATCTGAACATTAAACGTATTTTATTAATTACATGATAAACGTTCAAAGATTATGATGGCTGAGGCAAACATAATGTAGAAATGTTCTATACAAGAGAAGTGTTGGCGTAATGGCTTAAGAGTGGGACTCTCATCCCTGAGGTGGTTCGTTCTAATCACAATTGTACACCAATGGAATTGTATTTTACAATTTACATTTGCTTCTGAAACAAGATGTTTCAAACCTAAAAATCGATAAAAATTTGTCAGACACCGGCTGATCACCTGTTTGTCTTTAAATAATAATTAACCAAGAAACAAATGCTAGGCTTGCAACGAATTACTTACTTGTTTGCGGCAAGGCGACAACATTGTCCCGTTTTATTGCTTGAATCTTGTAAACGCATCCATATAGCTCCATCACCACGTACACTTTCTGAAATATTCTTCAAACGTGACTTAAATATTTAAAAATGCTCGGATCCTTCAACTCAGCGTTTATTCAATGCGGTAGTATATTGTTGTAGTAGTTAAACATAACAAAATGCATGTTTATTTTTAAATTCGGCACTAAAAGGGTTCTTAATCAACAAAATTAATGAATAATAAAACATTAACTGATTGTAATACCCTCAATGTTTAAATAACATTAAAAATGTTATTAAGTAATAAATATTTATATACAAAACATACGTGGCGGTTATAAAAACTGAAAAATTAAATTGAATCCACGCCAGAGGATAACGTGAAGAGGACGGCAATACAAATTATGTGTTTATCGCTTTATTTTGAATGTACATTCGCAATGACGACCTCCAACGGGACCTTAATGTAGAGGTCAGCACCACAATAATCTATTCAACTGCTTGACACCACGGGCCTAGGGAGAAGATTGAAAACGACTGTCGACTAAACCATTTGAATTAGCATGAGTGCACGTTTGTCTTAAGTACATTAGGTTAGTTTTAATTTACTTATTAGTTAAGCTAGGTCGTAAATAAGTATTGTCGTTCTGCAGACAATTTATTTAAAAAAAACGCTTTATTTTATGACATTATTTATTACAGTAACATACGTGTGTTTAGTATTAGTCTTTTGTGTTACCGCGTGTTGAACATAGAGAAACTTACATCAGGAACCCGTTCAAATGCCGTATCAATACACTCGCAGTTGTAATACACCAATACACGTCCGTCGGTAGTCTTCTTCAGACCGACACGGTCTCCAGGTCTCAGCCACTCGAATGACGGTGAAACAGTGCACCAATCTTGCTCTCTGGTCCCGGGCTTTGAATATTTCATGTATCTCCCTATATACCGTAAATTATATTATAAATATACATATTTCGAGTTATATAATGTTTTTAATACCATATACGTAGTGTTAAGAGCAGTGTTGGCCTAGTGGTTTCGGGGTGCGACTCTTATCCCTGAGGTCGTAGGTTCGAACCCCGGCTGTGAATCAATGGACTTTTTGTCTATGTGCGCGTCGTCACTCACACGTACGGTGAAGGAAGACATCGCGAGGAAACCGGTATGTCTTATACCCAAAAAGTCGACGGCGTGTGTCAGGCACAGAAGACCGATAACAGATACAGAAATCTGAGATCCAGGCCTTAAAAGAGTGTAGCGCACTTGGTTTTTTACTGGTATTATTACATCAATATCATTTTACATCTGCCATGACATTAAACTGGATTCAATGAATGAATTGGCATATACATTTAAAAACTACAAATTCATAAAAATATTTTTCTAATAACTTACCATCAACATAAGCGGTGTAATGTGGCAAGTATATAATAGATGGGGGCAGGCTTCTATTGACATGTGCGTTCAAAATATTTATATCGGTCACTCCCATACGAAATCCTCCAGCGAAACTGTCTTGGCATTCCGTGATTTTTATCTTCAAAAGGAGAAATAAGAGGGTAGGAGGTAAAACAAACTAAACGACCGCTCTAACGCTAATCTGTTGGTAGACTGGATGCCGAACAAATAATAAATAATCAAAGTCAAAATAAAAGCCAACAAGAAATAGGTACTTATGTAATTTTGATAGTTCGATGTTTATTTAGAAAAGGGGTTAGCAATTAAATGAATATAGTCTAAGAGTAGATATTGAAGGAAAAACTGAATGTTTAAATCAAACTCGTTACAGCATATGACCGGGGGTGTTGAACAAATTGATTAAATAATCGTATAATTACTATCATTTAATACATTGTTATATACATTAATCCTCTTGGTGATGCAAGACCAATCCATAGAATATAACATATGTAGCAAATTATTTGACAACTCGACCACCGAGATCGGTTAGGTGGACCCAGGAGCTTTGCTTGACATTCTCCTCTTCGGTTTTTTTTAATTCCTTTAAAAATAAAAATAGTTTTTTGATTTAAAAATAATAAAAAGATTACCTCAAACATTTCCCCAACAGCCAAGTGATCGGAACTGAAGACTAGTGCACCCATCGGATCGGGAGTCAACCTCTTCGCGACCGAATACTCGTGAGTTAACCGGACGTTGTCTCCGTAGTACTCGGAAAAACTCCTACAAAATTTAGAAACGCATTTATCGAATTTTAAGTATAAATTTGTATGTAAAAGAAAGTGGCACTTACCAATATGGCGGTGGAGGTGTGGCCAATAACCGCGGTAGACCGAAAAACGGATTATCGGCGAGTGGACAGCCGTTGTAGTTAAATGTTCTTTCTTCGTTTTGTAGTATTGTCACCTAGATTCATGAGGTTTAACTAACAAGATTTTTCAAGTTTTTTTCACTGTAATTACCACAAAGCGAATTTAGGTTAAAAAAGACCCTGCCTATAAAGATTTTGAAAAAACCTGAAAAACTTGAAAACTCCAAAACTTGTTTAACAATTATAATTATAACATAAAACCATTTTTTATTACCTGAGTGCATTGCCCATAAAGGTCGACAACTGCGTAGATGTTAAGATGAGGAACAAACCACGCCTTCCCCATATCCATTCCATCTAAGTAATAGTGGAGGCTTCTATCCGCGTGCCACATAACACCTATTGGATTTGTATCTACTATAGAATGAACAGAAAGACAAGACTTTATATAAATGATAAATAGGTTCATTTGTTCTAGGGCAACTTTTTGGTGCCCCGCCCCACCACAGCCTTCCTAAAATTTTTATTTATATATTCTTATATATATTACTAGCTGACCCGGCAAACGTTTGTTTTGCCTTGTATATTAATTTCTAGTAAACATTTTTTTGTTCAATGAAAATAACTATCAATAATAAAATATAGGGGTCGATCGAAGAGGGGTGAAAATTAAGGGTTGTATCATAAAAAAATAAAAACAAAAAAATTTGACGAAAAAATAAAAAAAAATATTAGGATGTACACCCCCATTATCACTTAGGGGTCTGAAAGATAGATAGTAGCCGATTCTCAGACTTACTGAATATGCATAAAAAAATTCATAAGAATCGGTCGAGTCGTTTCGGAGAAGTATGGGAACGAACATTGTGACACGAGAATTTCAAATACATATTGGATAAAATAATAAAAAAAGGTTTTTAATATCAGAAATTGGATTGTTCTTGAATTTGATCATCGAGGGTTGAATTTGTCAGGTATAAAAGACTCACCAACTCGACTTCCAACAGTCAATGTATCCAGATCCAAGGAATATCCACTTCTCACACACTCTCCATCCTTCATCATTGCTGAGCCGCTCAAAATGTACGTGTCGTAGTTCAGGTCCGTCGCTGTTCCCGCTAGGACGCAATCGTCCAGGTCATCCGGACGAATTGCTGTCACACCTGTAAGATGACGTCACATCATATGCTTATGCGATAATTCTTAAGAATATAAGTCTCAGTATGTCAATATTCTAGGGTCAAGACCTACTTGTCTTATGTCATAAATATTTTCTGAAACAGATGCAGACGTAATACGTAAACCTCTAACGTAAACTAAATCAGTCTATTTGTTTTAACTAAACTCTTTCGTCCCTATCTGCCAAACACTGCGATGAAAAGAGACAGATCGCTCGTCCCTACTTACCAATCTCCAAGCTCCCAATCCAGCAATCAACCATAGAGTCTATCCTTAGTTCGAACATGTCGCACTCTCGCAAAGGCCTCGAACTGAAGAGCACTGCATCGTTGAACTCCGAGTAAACCGCCGTACGTGACGCAGTCAATCGCGTACGACTCAAGCGTGCATTACGCCCGTGTACGCGGTGGAAGCACATTTCCCTACAAATACAATTCAAATTATTTTCAAAAAAAGGAAATTATTACAAAACCCTAGTTAAAATGCAGGACTTTGTCATCGAACACTGATAATATAAAAAAGAAAGATTTCATTTTTTGCATTAATTGGCACCAAAACTACTGGACCAATTTTAGAAATTAATTGCCATAATGTAGTTAGGGATTCATATGGAAACTTCTATAATGTCTTTAACAAATAACTACTACATATAAAGTTAAGTTAAAATTTCTCTCACATAAGTGAATATAAAAGAAAAACTTACGGATAAACTGTCGTATTTGATTCGAAGGAGTTTGGCGATTCCGGTGAAAACGTCGTTGGCGGTGAATAGGTGTCTACTATCGTCGCTTGCGCCACTCTTCCATATAAACCTAAAATAAATTAAATTTAAATAACAATACACAATTGCGGAACGTGCGAACGTTTTACAATACTTAGTGATACAATCTACTTACCAATAACACCAAAAACTTGACCTGGTATATTAAAAGCGGCCGGACCTTGATCGATGCCATTCACAAAGAAATGTAGGATGCCCATGTCCTTTCGCATCACGCCCACAGTGTCTCCCTCCTGAAAAACATATATAATACTAAAAAGTTATTTAATTAATAAATAGTTAAATATGACCGAAAATCATAGCTTAAATTTTGAATTTCTATATTCAATACCAATCGTAATTCTTACAAGTCGTAGATTTATTTACAGCGTTTTTGACATCAGTTCTTTTCTACGGGTGCTAGCAATTACGACTCAGCTCTTTGTAGTTATATGTATTTTCAAATATTTCAGTAATAAGCTTAAATAGGAATTCAGACATTTAAAAAAATACTTAAGGCTTATTGCATACTAAAACATTGTGTTTTTGACATTAAACAAAACTCAACGTAAACCAATATCAATATTATAATAAGCAATGTTTGTAATACCTGAAAATACAGAAAAGTTTAAAAATGATTTCCAAATATATTCCGAATATTCGCTCCCGAGGAACCGCTCGTCGAATAATAGCTAATTTGAATAATAAACAAACTCACACATAATCCATTGAGATTTCTTATATATTTCGGTATTATAACGCTTCCATTGCGAATAATGTCTTCGCCGGCCATGACCCAAGTGCCTGATCTGTTGAACAATAGTAATTTCATCGTCAACCTCTCAAAAATCGTCAAATACATTGACTTTTTGATTTGAGCAAAGCAATACTCACTTAGCGTGACTCATTTTGAACGGTGTCTTTATATCATTGGAGGAATACTGCGTGACCCCTATCTCGATACTGCCGGCCCACTTGGGTATGACCAGGTCGAGTCTAACTTGAAACAGCTCATTGGTCTTTAACGTTCGATTCGTCATCACTATGCCATTGTTGAAGAATTCGAAAGCGCTGAAAGTACTATTGAAGTCCATAAATTGTAACAAATAGCCTCGTGGGAGCTGTCGCTAGGAAACCGTATAGCCCCGACACCCCTAGTACATTAATAAATCAAATTGAAATCTGAGGTCAAGGGGTTATGACGGATGTGTTAAACGTACAAATTGAATTCGCGGGCAAATGTAGTTTAGCATGAACAATCGAATAGACCAAAGTCTCTACATACCACTTCCTAACCATATCTTATCCTGCTCAATCGTGACTTTTATAATTCATGTATTTTCTTATTCTTTAGTATTGCATTTTGAACTGATTCATGAACCGTAAGATTAGCTTTTAGTTTCTAGATTAAGTTTGGTAATTGTATAACTTTACAGTGTAACTTGTAATTTCGACTTTAACAATTTATGTTAGTCGTTTTTATTTGTAATGTAATGAAGTTTTTATAAATTTAATTTAATAAACTTGAAAACGGTAGCAGTAAAGTAAAGAGCTACTAATAAGCAATAAATATAATATTTCTTACCAAACGAATAAAAGTTTACTTTAAACAATATAATTACAACACAACCCTTTTATAAATAAGTATATGTTAAAATTATGCTTTTAAAAATATGGAGGATTCCTCTATCACATAAGCACAAAAAATAATCCTCATGAAAATTCACTAAGATAGCTTAATTCTCACTCAAAGGTAGCATGTTGATGTTAAGTTTTACAACCTATCACTGTTATTCTAATCCTTTAATGTAAATACATATTAAAATTATAAAGGGACTAAATACTAAAAATTCCACGTAAAGAATAGTAATTTTCGCATCGATATATATACATATGTTTATTTCTATAGAAAGAATCAACTTTGAATATAAAACAAGTGACAGACAGAGAAAGTATGATACGTGCGGAAAACCGAATAAATAGACGCGGAGGAACAGTGTAAATGAGATGGGCACAGCACGTAGTTTTACAGTTATGTATATATGTGTATGTTATTATTTAACATTCTGCCAAACTCACGAAGGGTTATTGTGAGAAGCCAGGACAGGTCGTATCGTACACAAATACAATTCAATTCCACCGGTACTAATCCTATTAATAAGCATGTGATTGGCTTTTTACGTCGACAAACATTTTTGGTAAACATATAACTTCTTGTACCAGAAAGATGTTTGCATGAAAATTTTAGTTTCAGGGACAACAGACATACTCAAATGTATACTAAAATTAGATTATTTATTAAAATTTGTATATTTTTATTTTTATATTCAAAAACAGTACAGCGGTGCTGAAAATCTCAATCAAGCAATATTAATTAAATATAACGTGAAGAAAATTATCCAATATAAAAACAGTACGTTGCGGTAAGCCTGAAGTTAGTTTTCAGAGGTAGGCAAACTTCACAAACAACAAATCTTGCAACTAATCTATAAATTGGATCCGAAATCGCCGGATAAGAAAAAGATGGTGCGTAACGGAAAAATGTGACGACGTCACGTGACGTAAATTTTTTTCCAACGCCGATAAAGAAGTTTCACTTCAATCAAGGCTACATCTTATCTGTGATCTGTCACGTGATCAATGAAACAGTCTTCGACGAAATTTAACTGCTAACTGCAAGACAGTACACGTGTATTAGAGTTAGACAGGCGAAGATATATTATAGGTCCGTGATCGTCGATTTGACTAATCAATGTCCGATTTGTGTCACACGACTGACGTATAGAAATCAATATTGTAATTATCGAATTGGATGAATTAATGCTCATGTTACTCCAACGCTTTCGATAGCTACGTTGTACACAGATTACTCTCGAGAGCAATTAATGTCATACTGCCAAATAAATCTTATTTACGAAGGCGAGGTAAACGCAAGCATAGATAATTCAATTAATACAAACTCGCATATCGCACACGGCCTCGACGCGATCTCTATCTCTATCTTTAGGTAACGTCTCCGATATTAAGTTTCACGAGTCTCTCTCTCAAAGTCTTTCGTCTGCATTCAAATTAATTAATTAAGTGAGTTCTGTGTAACTTTGAAGGTTAATTTTCGCCCTTATAATTCATTAAACATTGAGATTGCACTGAGATAATAATATATATAATTCTTTTTGATTTTGAACTTTCTATGTTTAATTTTTCTCTTCTCTTCTACCGTTTACATTATATAAATCTACTTTTATAGTATTGCCGTTCAGCTTTTCGGTGTGATGAATAATCAAACATTAAAAATCAAGATATCAATCAGTCTTTTCTAATTTTTCGCTTAGCAAATAAATAATATTAATATTTATTTCGGCATGAAACAGTCGGCTTCACTACGGTGACGCCTTCGCCGAGCCGGAATGTGTTGGTGGCGCATAGAGAAATAAAACTCGCATCGCTACTTTAATCACTGAGCTCACCGGGCTCTACTCGCTCAGCAAAAATACAAGGAACATCGTTCGTCGTCACTTTCATTATGTGGATATATTATATCGCATAGCTTGTGTTCTGAATATACAATAAACTCTTTGATAAGTAGCAACAACATTTGTTACCTATTCATGGTTTGTCGTGGCTTAGCCTGGCTCTGTGGCTGCTTACAGTTCGCCTTCTTCATCCCGGAACGTTTGTTCTCAATCATTTGGCCGGCACACGTTTTTAGCTGTGCGTAGTTTGCTCCTGCGGCTATTTCTCTATTATGTTTTTCAATGAGAGCTGAAAATAAAAAAAATCTACTATGAACTCTTTTGTACAGCTGGATAATTAAAAATTCCTTAAACACAGAAAAGTATTTACAAATACATTAATATATTGTATAATTAAATAAATGATTAGAAATTATACCTTGTGCAGAGATTCGTGCTCGCTCAAAAATTTCTTTTAGGTCATTTTTTCTTTCCGGGGATCTGTGGCTCGTGACAGCTGGATAGAAATCGACAATCTGAAAACAACATTTATGAAGTAAAGTAACGCAAGACCTCATTTAGTTCATTTAAACATTTAAGCAGTTTTGTATAATTTGATAATCTATCTATGTATCTGCACACTCACGCTTTTTGCCCGAAGGATAGGCATAGACCACGGATCTCCACAGTCAAACCGCATAATTTCTTTATACATAACATATAGAAATGCAACGCGTCACAAATACATTGTTTTTATCACTATAATATTCAATTAAATACCAAAATATTATGACTCTTGTCATACTTATGTCATGTATTAAGTATTATACAAGAAACATATAAAATAGAGTGTAACTATTATTACATATTAGTAGTAAAGAATTAGAAATGTCAATGGTATCCGTAAAACCAATATTTAAAATGAGTTATTTCATTGTTGAATAACTTTGAATTTTTTTTTAATCAAACATTGAAAATCCAAAAAAATCCTGGCAATCTTGCTGGTTTATGTGTTCTATGTGCATTCTAAATCAAATCAACTATTATTATTACAGAAAACTAATATATAAGATTCACCTCACCTGAGGAGATTTCTGGGTTATTGTTTCAGACGTGACAGTGGATATCGGTTCAGGTGGGTGGTATGTCATTTCGTGTGGATCACAAGCAATACTTATTCCAAAAGTACCAACTAATTTTGCCTTGAGCTGAAAAGATGCAGCCAATGGTAATAACATGTACCTTTAAAAGTTCAGTTGTCAACTATTTTAGTGGATAACATATTATGTTATAAACATACATTGGGCATTACAGATAAAAAGAAGTATAAATATTTAAAAAACTCTTACATTTTAGTGAACAATCTTTAATCTACTAAATCGTATTTACACTGTGTCTTTACACACACATAGATCAATACTTTTGTTAAAATGATGAATGACGACTGATTTAAATTTTATAAATAAGAGGGCTATATATGTATAAAATATTCTACATGAAATAAAATTGCTATATAATTTAAAATTATCTTCTGTGAGAACCTTATTATTAGTTTTTATTTTACACATGTAAGAGCATAAATAAGAGAGTTATTTAAATATTTAACTAGAAATTTTATATTATTTCAAATACATATCTCTGCAATGGTTATATTACAGCAATATATATATATATATATATATATATATATATATATATATATATATATATATATATATATATAATAAATAAATATATTAATCATATTTGTCTCATATCTTACTATACTTCTTACGAGTTTGTGGACAAACATACATACACTTACAAAATGCTTGGAAGTCTAAAATATGATATAACATACATACAGGTCAAACTGATAACATATTTTCAAGTCAGTTTATAAAGCAAATCTACCATAGATTAAATAAGCTAACATGGCTAGTAGTTATTCATAACAATATCTCAATAAGTTTCACAAATCTTGATTCACGTTAATGTTAAGAACAAAAACATTAGTACTTTAATGAGATTAAGATTCTTTTTGACTGTCTCATCTATGTGTACATCATACAATTAAAAAATAGATATTTTGAGAGATAAAAATTAGTTTAAATCCATTTTTTAATTTTGAAGATATGTATTATGAAACATTCTCTTCAAAGGCTTAATCTCGGGTTGGGTTTAAATACCGTCGCACTTTTTTTATGATACTAACTATTTAGGAGTCTCGGGGGACCTTCATTGGAACACCTCCAAGTGATTTTTACTGCCAGAAACGCGTCTAAGTATTTTAATAAAAATTTAAGTTTTGTGAAATGTATTGATTTTTTTTTTTTTAATTTTCGCCCATGGCGCAGGCTATAGTCTTTTAACCATACCGCCTAGTCTTTCGTAGAATTTTTCCTTTATTTATATATTAGATTCATTTGTCTTTCGTAAATTTCAATTTCTTTTCAAATCCATGTTTTAACTTTTAAGTTATGTCAAATCGTTATCAGGTTGTGTCAAATGTAGTATCAGTCGTTTTGTCAGTGGTCGAATCCGTGCAAATATCATAGTTTATAGGCCTTTGACCTTTCCCATTAGCGATAAATTATTAATTAATATCATCATCATATTATTATAACCTTAAATTTTATCAAATTACGACTATTAAATTAAATAATTATATGTCCTTTACAGTCTCCAAAATGTATCTGTACAAATAAAAATAAGTTGAGGCATTCATAAGTAGCTCCTGTATGTTCAGCGGGACCTTTTCAGGCTTCTCATAAATTTTTAAAAGTTCACCCGACAACACAAGGCGCTGAATGTTGAAGGACGAACACTCGAAGAAGAGATGATGTAGAGATTGAACACTTGATGTTTGACAGTGATCACAGCATGGCGAACTAACCATTTTGAGACGATGGAGATGGTAATTTAAACGACAATGACCAAAGCGCATACGACAAATAATTGAATAAAATTTTTTATTTATGAAGTCACCTTTTCTACAGAACCAAGGTACAGAGTTAATTTGAACTTCTAAACTATTATACCAAGCACCCTTGTTTTCATTTTCTATGCAGTGATATGAATATTTACCCCATACTTCACACATACGACGTTTTAAAAGACTAACTGCGTCTGTGTGGGGCACAGACACATCAATATCAGAACAGGGTATTAAGTTTTTCATTTCAACAATTTTTTTGGCAAGAGAATCTGCTTTTTCATTGCCTACTACACCAATATGCGATGGTACCCAAACAAAACTAACAACTATGTTTAACTGTGACAATTCAACCCATAGTTCTTTTATCTGATAAATTATATAATTAGTATTAGCATTTAATGTATTATTAGCCAAGTTTTTAAAACACTCATACTATCACTTACTATGATCCAATATTTATGTTCTGAATAACAATTTTTAATATATTTCAAAGCATTTAAAATAGCAACAGCTTCAGCTGTAAAAATACTAGTAGTATTAGAAATTCTCCTACCAATAGCTATATTTGAAGAGGGCTCATAAAAAGCAAAAGACACGGCTGAATCACTCTTGGAACCATCTGTATACACCATTTTATGATCTGACCACTGTGACAACAATGTATAAACTTCCTTTTTTGAGGGCAAATCCTTTTTCTTGTTTATAATTATGTCCATTGCTGGAAACTTACTATCACTTCATAGCAAGGTAAAATGTGTTTAGATTGATAAATATTAATATTTTGAATAAAATCTATAAAATTTGGAAGATCTTGCGACATATAGAAAGGTTTTAATCCTATGCGAGTAGGTGAGTGCAAAAAATTTATTAAGAGACTATTATTAGATATACTGTATAATTTCAATAGAAACCTTTCTTTCAAGTAATTGAATTGAATAGCTAGTGGTGGAACATTACATTCAATCTGTAATGCATTTACAGGAGTACTTCTGAATGCCCCAGTTATTACACGCAAACACTTATTTTGCAAAATATTTAAACATACAAGTTTAGAATCTGCAGCAAAACAGTAAAAACCATATTCAAAGTGACTACGAACTAAAGATTTATACAACAATAACAAAATTTTAGGGTCTGCACCCCAGTATGTACCACTCAAGGATTTCAATATATTGTAGGCTTTATTAGCCCTACCAATTAGGTGTTTTATATAAATATTCCAGGTCAAATTATATGAAAAAATCACTCCCAAAAATTTCACCTCAAGTGTAATAGACAACATACAATTGTTATACATCACAGCAGGAATACTATGATTCTGTTTACCAAATATAACAACTTTAGATTTAAGAGGATTAACACAAAGATCAAGGCAACAGAAATATTTATACAAATTCGCTAAGGCAACATTGACTGATTCAACAACCTGAGAAAAATTCTTTCCAGATGCATAAACAACTAAATCATCTGCAAACTGTAGGTTTTTAACCTGAGACCCTAAAATTAAATTTAAACAACGAATATACAATATGAACAAATCATCAACAAATCAAAGGTGATAAAATACCACCTTGACAAACTCCTTTTGTTGACAGTCTAGGGCCATAAAGATGTTTATGAAATTTAATGAATACTTCCCTACTATTGAGAAATTTTTTAACCCAGTTTATAATTTTTCCAGGAATACCTATAAGTGACAACTCATTACACAAAACATCTATATTTACACTATTAAAAGCACCAGCAATATCAAAAAATACAGCAACCAAATTTTTTTTGTTTTAAGAATTGTTCAAATAATTTCCCAACACAAGAAGTACGATAAGAATCAGGACACATTTTAGGCTTATCAGGTTTTAAGACAGGCACAAGACAGTCCACCTTCCAGTTATGAGGTATAATATCATTTTCCCATAGTAAATTCAATATATGTAAAAATATTTCTAAACTAACTAAGTTTTTTGAAAAGTATATAAGGCATGCCATCAAGACCATAGGCAGTATCTCTTCTGGAAGTTAAGGCTGATAGCAATTCTTGTATAGAAAAAGAGTTTATAAGAAAATTATTGCTGGGATTGGGGTTGTTATTGTAAGGGTTTATGTCATCGGATACAAAGTCAGGTGTATATTTCTTAAGAAAATCTAAGACCCAGCTATCATCACTCTCAGCGTTAAAATGATATGTTCTATTATACTTGCTCATAAATTTCCATATGACAGATAATTTTGTTGAGGTTTTAACCATCTGTTAAATGTTTCACAAAGAGAAAACCAACTTCTTTGATATGATTGGCTCTATAGCCTGGACAAAATCAAATTGGTTGCTGATTTTTTGCTTTAACATATTTTTATTATTTTTTTTTTTTTAATTTATATAATGCTACAAATGTAATTATTTTTTTTTTGTATCTCACACACTGCTTTGTTGTGTTTTTTTAATATTTTTAATACTCTTTAATGTTAATATTCTAAGGTTTCGATATTTGTAAATATGTGAGGAACATGTATACTAACTTTTTTAGTATAGTAGTTTATTCTAAGAGTACATTGTCTTCACATATAATTATTTAACAAATGTAACAAAATATTGTAAACCTATTTTAAAAGAGTAAGTGTGGAGTTTCTTGCCCATTCTTCTCCACACGAAACTACCTTTTGGAAGGGGCAACTAGAATCATCTTTATATATATTTTTTTTGACGTTCAAAAGTGCCATTTTAGATGGTCTAATTGAAATAAACGATTTGACTTTGACTTTGTCTTTCCGTTTTTAAAGTAAGCTTTTACATGCACATAGTCTTTTAAATTGCAGGTAATTTTCTTCCGATGGATTAGCTTTAAAATTAAGATATGCATTTTTAAAATTTAATACAGCTTCTGTGCATTTTTTGTTCCACCAAGGAAGCGAATACTTTTTAGTAATAACTTTATGACATGAGCGGCTAACAATATCAATACTGACATTAGATTCATTAGAATTTGGTATAGAATTTGCAGCGGCTGAGCGCAAAATTTTACAAAACTGAAGATATGAATCAAGAAGACTTAAATTATCTACTTTAAAATCAAGTAATGATTCATCAACACAACTTCTGTACCTTTGCCAATCCACCAATCTATAGTTTGGATAAATAGGCAAATGTGCAGCATTACAACGACAGTTATATTCCTCACTATTATGTCTATTACTAATATTTACTCTTATGATTACAGGAATGTGATAACTAGTGCCAAGAGAGCTATCGTGTACACCCCAATCACAATTAAGTGCTAAGGATGAAGAAACCAGGGTTAAATCCAGGGCATTAGGACGCCAAGTTAAAGAACCAACTGTTGTTGCTTGACCATTATTAAGCAGAACTAAATTATTATCATCAATAACATCCAAAACGTCACGACCACGTATTGAGTCTGAGCCACAACCCCAAGAGGTGTGATGAGCATTAAAGTCTCAGGCAAATATAAAAGGTTCAGGGATAGATTTTATTAATAAATCGAAGTTACGTTTTTTGAATTCTCGATTACATTTCAAAGGACTATAAAAACTTACTATACTAATTTCTTTGTTATTAACTTTTATTTTTACACAGATATTTTGTAATGAGTTGTCAAAGTAAGTATTGACTTTATTGTAGGCAATACTATTGTGTATAATTATTGCAACTCCGTTATGTTTGTTAGCAGTATCATTTCTTTCAATATTATAATGTTTTATTTTAAAATTTTGTTGAGGTTTTAACCATGTTTCACTAATAATTGCTATGTGTATATTTTGATTGTAAGGAAAATCCATAAATATATACTTATTACTATTTAAACTTTGAGCATTCCATTGTACTATCTTCAATTCGGAGAGATCCATTAGGAGGTTGAGGAAAATTTATTGTTAAAGGACGTTTTCAATGTTTCTTTTATCGATGCAAAATTAATAGGTGTCTCTTTATTATTACTAACTATTAGAATAATTGTATCAACTAAACTATTAACAAACCTATCTGATTTCATGAGATTATTGACTTGAGTATCTAAATTACGTGCTGTTAGAGCTGGGAAGGCATTAGTATCAAATAAATCTGAATATGTGGCATTCTTGGCTTTTATTTTGTTTTCCTCTACTTTTTCCCTTTTTTTCAAGCATTGAGAAGAAATAGCTATATGATTCCCCCCACAGTTGGCACATTTGGCATCCTTGGAAGCAACCTGGCAGGTTTTAAAATTGTGTTTCTCTCCACAAATTGAACATACTTCAGAATTATGACAAAATTTTGCAATATGTCTAAAACGCATACATTTTAAACATTGTTTTACTGGTGGGATATATTTACTTTATGACGCCAAGAATCTAAATAAACATACTCTGGTAAGATGGTTGAAGCAAATGTGACGGCAACTGCCTGTGTAGGTATGAACGAAAAACTACCACTATCACTTCTGTCACGTCGCATGAAGCGCCTGACTTGTATAACATTCTTAGAGCTACCAATCAAAGAGAATATTTGTTTGTTGGACATATCTATTGGAACAGAGGTGAGAACTCCAGTGACCTCCGTGTCCTTAGCAGGTATTGAAGCTTTAAAAGATAACTGATCAAGCAGTTTTTTGTTTTGCAAAAACATATTTGCATTGTTAGGAAAATCAAATGTTACACCGACCTTATATTTAGTAATAGTACGTAAATGCATGACACCAGATACCCCGTGTTCTCTTATTCCCTTGGAAAGAGCTAAACGATCCCTATCGCTGAATACAGTATTCTCATCTAATTTAGTAAGAAAAACAATCAGTCCAGTCTGTTTCGAGTCCTCCGCATACTTACGAGTATACGCTTTTACTCTATAAATGGTATATTTATCTTTCGGTTCCTTTTCCGCATATTTGGACTTAAAATTTGAGCTCGTCGAAGCCATGGATTCTGCTGAGTCAGAGTCAGTGGATTGGAACCTGAAGGGACGATACTATCCCTCTTCCGCTTCTTTTTCGGCATTGCGAGATGTTAATATACCACCACACACTTATATAAACTAATATTTACAAAACTATTATTGAATTAATAATAAAAGTTAGATTTTATAGAAAATTTTCAGAAAGCGCGCCTTTCCACTTCAATAGCTTCCCGCCTTTAGCTGAAATGTATTGAAATTTGTAAACAATCCGCCATTTTCTACTTTTCTATTGGTTATTAGAGATGTGACGTTCACTTTAAAAAATCGTGTTTTTAATTTATCGATTGTTAATAATCGTTTTTTTTTTATTTATCGATTATTTTCACATTTTTTAAATTTAAAGTTATAGAATAATCAACATTAAAATTAACCTAATTTCGTGTTGATAGATTATAGGATTCCGAAATTTTTTGAAATTATCGATACCTACTCGTCTGTATTTCCTAATTGGTACTTGTATTTCATTGTTTGCAACTTTCTATATTATTTAATTTTTACTAGAATAAAGTGTTTACTTTCATATCCAAAAAGTACCCAAAACCGAATCAGAGCATCCCACTATCCACGTGGTCTTGTCTGTCTTACCCCTAGAGTGTATATAAATAATCAGAGGCGCGGAGGAAGAGCAGCCCCCACCCGCTGTAACAAAGCACAGGCATTATGAAAGCTGTAGCGGCTGAGGCTGGTCGCCTTCGGCGACCAAGAAGCCGGGTTGGGAGGCTTGAATAAACAATTATTATTTAGATCGGAGCTGTCCAAAAAAACAAATATTATTTAGATCGGTTAGGTTAGGTAAGTATATGAATATTTATTTTTAAAATAACTGTTCAACTGGAACTGATCAACTAGATTCTTTAAAAAGTGACTTAGTGAATTACTTTTAGAAAAAATGTACTATTCAATAAATGATTATTTGCATGAAACACCGTTATTAATATAAAGTCGAGGAATCGATTATTTTTCACATCCCTATTAATTTTATAAACGTAATCGGCCATTTTGAATGTGGATTTTGCTAGACTAGCGGTAATTAGTTTTACAGTGCAAAATTTACTTTATAAATCCGTTTCTTTTTTATTTTCACGTGAAAGTGCGTTATTTTATTAGCATTTTTGAAACTTGGCTTTACATACATAATAAACACTGATTTCTCGCGATCATTTTCAGATTTATAGTGATGGCGTCTACAAGTTTTACTCGTGAGAATGATTTTGAGGACGATGGGTCCGTTGTGTATCGTGACTTGTATAGTGAAGAAGTGATCACAATGTGGAATCTGATTAAAATATATAAAAAATTAGGTACCAATGAGCAGTGTGTGGCATTCGCTGAAGAGAATGGTTTAGTCATTAGTGCATTCTCAAAAGCAATGTAGCATATATCGTATACCCATGAAAATTGCTAAATCGACGAATAAAACATTTGGTTCATGGTGTTGCACGAAAGGAAATTGCAGATCAAAAACTAAAGTTCCTACTTCCTAGAAATAAAGGAACGTTTTTCGAAAATATTAAAATAGAATTAGTACATGTCTTCTATTTATTATATGCGTTTTCGCAAAATTGGAGCTATAATACAACCATGCGTGAAGATCCATATAAAGAAGATAGACTTAAATCCTTAAGCTGAGTCACTATAAGTGATTGGTATAGTTATTGTAGGGAAAGTATAGTTATATATCAAATGGATAAAACTCAAGCGGTAGGAAAGATTGGTGGCCCAGGGAAGATAGTCCAGATTGATGAATCTAAATTTGGGAAAAGAAAATATAATCGAGGTAATTGTTTTATAGCACTATTAATTAATATTTACTATATGTGTTATTAGTCTGTTTTACTCCTAGAGTGTAATTTAAAAACCAGAGCTGTCTAATAACCCTATTATTATCACATCTACAATTTTTTTTTAACTCATTAAGCTTATTAACTAATTCTTTAATTGTTGTAGGACGACATATTGAGGGCTATTGGGTCATTGGTATGATCGAAGACAAATCTGAAGATCTGAGATTGGAAGTGTGTCCAGATAATATTTGATCAGCTGATGTATTACTTCCTCTTATTCAAAAACATGTTGAAGTTGGTACTACCATTCATACTGACTTCTGGAAAGCATATGATTGTCTGGCAGACCATGGGTACAAACATCAAGAAGTGAATCATTCAGATCCTGAAAACCCGTTTGTGGCTGAAGATGGAACCCATACTCAAAGGATTGAGTCACAGTGGAGGGCAGTAAAAAGATTTTTTAAAAAGGATAATTATAATAACACTGAAAATTTTTCAGATCATGTCTATGAATATTTGTGGCGGCGAAACAATATAAAACATAAAAAAAGACCCATTTTTGGACCTAATTAGAGCTGTCAAATATGTCTATAAATTAAACACTGACTGACCGATTTTTTATTTTGCTATATTGCTTATTTTGCTTTTGTTTTTGTTTTGCTTTCATTTCATTTGTCAATTTATTTTTCTTTTTACTGCTCTACACGTGCTATGGCTATGTATTGGGCCCTGGTGGTGTTAGTGGGTATGGGGGCCATCGCATTTTACGACCTTGATTCCTACACTCCCCGCGCCAATCACACTTGCCCAGGCGCGGGGGCCCGTAATCGGGTTTCCCCAGGTGAAAAAAAAAAAAATTTTTTTTTTAAATATTTAGACGCGTTTCCGTACCAAAAGGAAACCTTACGAGATCCTTAGGGTCCAACTGATTAAGTGTCGTCAATCCAGTCAACAAATTCATCAAATTATTTTTATTAACACTATTGCGACTGTTCATTTTTAAAGAAAATAAATGTAACAAACCGAAGCAAGCCTACCGGCTGTCAAACCTCATATGTCTTCATGTCTTTTACGGCCGAAACATTACAGCTGGGCGAAACACGGCGAAAACCACCGAAGCCCGGCGGAAATTTTACGTCGATGCATTACACCAATAATTTAACACTCAACCACACACACAATAAATGATTACACTTGCAGTGCATACCACTGGAAATACGCAACAAGCTGGAAGAAAAACAGAGACAAAGAAGGCGATTACATACCAGCAGATCAGATGTAGACAGGTCGGAATTCAATAGAATATCTAGAGAACTAAAAGAGTTAATTAAAGAAAATCAAAACACAACCTTCCAAAAAAAACTGTACACTCTCGGCTCATAAGAAGGATAATTACTCACTCTGGAAAATAACTAAGAACTTTAAAAGACCACATAACCATAATATACCACCTATAAGGATATCTACGAACGATCCGTGGGCTAGGAGCGGTAGTGAAAAAGCTGAACTTTTCGCTAGACACCTAAGCGAAGTCTTCAAACCAAACCAATCATCCATGACTGAGTTTGAAGAGGAAGTGGATAGAATGATCAATAGTGACCAGCAGTTATCACTACCGCTAAAACTTGTCACTCCACAAGAATTAATGCGCACAATAAGCTTTCAGGAATACAAAAAGGCTCCTGGTTTCAACCTAATAACGGGTGAAATCCTTAAAAAACTACCTAGAAAAGCAATAGTAATTTTAACAATGTTATTTAATGCCATTTTTAGAATACAGTACTACCCAAAGCTATGGAAGATATCACATATAATTATGATTGTAAAGCCAGGGAAACCCCTAACAGAACCTAGCTCATACAGGCCTATAAGTCTTCTCCCAACAATATCTAAGGTTTTTGAAAAAACTTTTCTGCGGAGACTAAAACAAGTCCTGGACCAAAACAGAATTATACCCGATCACCAATTTGGTTTCCGGGAAAAACATGCTTCTGTAGAACAAGTACACCGAGTGGTTCAAAAAATAAGACAATCGCTAGATTAATAAATATAGTTTAAAAAAACTAAAAAACACGCTTTTAAACCACATCAAACGAAAAAGTGAAAAATAATTCCTTATTTAGGCTGAAAATGGTAATCAACAAAAAATACTGGTTTTATTGTGAATAAGCGTGGGGCTCTGTGCCATATTTTTCGTCTATCGAGCAACCGAGCTTTAAAAGCGTGTTTTATAGTTTTTTTTAACTATATTTATTTTCCACTTTTTAGTCCTAGCAGCAATACGTGTTGTCTCAATTTAATCGTATTGCTTTGTGGACTTAAAAAAAAATTCATTGTTTTTTCGAGATAAACCTATGAAATTATTATATTGTCGCTGATTCTTTATAAGTGTACAAAGTTTGAATTAAATCTGTCCGTTTAATGTGGGTCAAAATCGAGTCCGAAGGAGTCGGTTACATACATACATACATACAGGTGAAGCTAATATAAAGCGTGTAAAAGAATATTGTTCAGCAGTATTCATAGATATTCAGCAGGCATTCGATAGAGATTGGCACAAAGGATTGTTGTACAAGCTGAAAACCCTCCTACCAAACTCATTCTATATGATCCTAAAATCTTATCTAGATCAGAGAAGATTCCAAGTAAAGTATGAGGAAGAACTTTCAAGGCTCTATTACATCACTGCCTCAGTTCCACAAGGATCAGTGCTTGGCCCAGTCCTTTACTCAATATATACGGCAAACAGAAAATGTTGTAACAGCAACATACGAAGATGACACTGCATGCCTTGCAAGCGATGTGAACCCGAATAACGCTTCACTGAAACTAACAGCTCAATAAGGTGAACGTGTGGCTGCAGAGGTGGAGAATCAAGCCTAGCATAACTAAATCAATACAAGTAACATTTACACTGCGAAAGGGCGACTGTCCACCTGTGCATATAGAAGACAAACCGTTACCAAGCAAAAACAGCGTGAAATATCTCGGACTACATCTGGACAGAAGACTGACCTGGGCTAATCACCTTGAAATTCAAAGAGCTAACCTGGCTTCTAGGCCAGCAATCTAGACTGACCCTGAGTAACAAATTGCTTGTTTACAAGGCCATCATACAACCAGTCTCGACATATGGAATAGAACTCTGGGGCTGTGCAAGCAATTCCAACATCGAAA